TTCAGTTTTGAACAATGACAGATTTTCCCCTATCATTATTTTCCTTTGGCTGTTTCAATGGGAGTTTAGAAGAAAGGCAGGATAAGAAGTTCAATATGAGGGTTTAAATGTCTGTCACAGAGTGGAAGTCTGTCCTTGTACTTTTCATAGGCTCTTTAGACAAAGTCCCCTCCACCTTATAGGCCTATGGGATGTATGACCCCTTCCTGACATCACTAACCCCTCCCGTGTAGGGTCCAAAAACAGTTTCTTCTCTATCAGCTCTATGCTCCCTTTCTGGGCACCCTATTAAAAAGGTTTTTAATATTGTGGCTTTGTCTTTCTCTGTCTCAAATTTTATCTCTCATCATTTCTTTTGTCCTTTTCCTCTGAGCTTGGGGAGAATTTCTTGAGTTTATCAGGCAGATAGAGCCATCACTGAAAAATAAATTACCAAGTTCTCTTTTTGTACTTCTCTTTCTTTGATTTCTCCTTCCTCACTTCTTTATGTTTTCTTTTCCCTGCCCCAGTGCTGCTTCTCTGGATCATTACTACCCTATTTCCATCAACATTGCTAGTTTTGCTTGCCTAAGGATTTCTAGGCACCTTATTTAGGACTTTTCTTTCCAAGTTCCTGAGAATTCTGGGGGCAATCTTCTCCGAAGCTGTGGCTGCTGGGGGAACGGCAGCAAAGACAGGATTGAAGGCACAGCTCTTCTGCCTCCAAGTGTGCTTGACGGAATGGTTTGACATCCGCTGGGCTGCATCCTCTGGGTACCTCTACTGAATCCTGGTCATCTAGGCAGTTCACAAGCTATATGAGCAACTGAATGTCTTCAGTTGTAGTAGCCAGCTGGTAACTCTGTCGTAGAGACTCTGACCAGTGCCTTGATGGTCTGGGGCTGCTTGGACCACATGTAGAGCCATCAACCTCCAGACTTCACTACTGAGCAGTAGAGCCACGCTGTGATATCTCTTGTAGAGGACGGAGTCAAGCTTAACGCATAACTTCAGTGTTCATTCTGAAGGTAGTCTTGAGAACTGGGGGGTGGAAGACATTAAGGAGAAGGTCAGATCAGTCTTTAGACAGCACTGGCCATGAAAATCACCCAGGTAGCTGAGGACAAAGCAAAGCCTCTCAAGGCTTCATATCTCGCCCATTATATTGATGAAAACTGTAAAAATGATTCAGCACAAGGTTTCCTATTTTTCTTTTGGCTACAGGTAAGGAATACACTGAAAGCTGAGGCTGCAGAGGGGGCTGATACTCAGACAATACCTTACATTGGACTAGGTTTCTGTTCCTAAATCCCTAGACACAGTAAAATCTCCTGTGTAAACACAGTTCTCCAGAGTTCTTTATAAAGCCTCTGTCTCTCTCTGTCTCTCTCGTCTTTCTTTCTCTCTCTCTCTGTCTCTCTGTCTCTCTCTCTCTCTCTCTGTCTCTCTCTCTCTCTCTCTCTCTCTCTCTGTGTGTGTGTGTGTGTGTGTGTGTGTCTTGTACACAGATGACATTTGACTTTTGCCATCCTATCGGGTCAGGCACCCCTTCCTGTTTTCCCTTGGAGTGCCCCATCTGCTGCTGCCACCCGAAACCAACTCTGGTCATTGCTCTCTGGAGGAGAGTCATTCAGTGCTGTGGCCCAGAGCTGTGTCCCCTCCCTAAGTCCAGGCCACTTGCTAATATCTTGGGTAACTGCTGAGCTCAACAGTGAGCTTAGCTGGCCTGAATCATTCAGAGAAGACTCTGGTGCTTATGGACCCATAATCACTTCCCAGATGAACCAGGAAGGAGCGGGAGGCTGATTACAGTGAAGAAGGGGACACTTTAAGCCATACACTCGGTAAGAAGTATGTAGAAGGTGGGATTTTACCAGCTTCTGAGTGGAACATAACATAGTTCTTTTGTTTGCACAGGGAGGAGAGGCTGTCACTGGCTTAGTACAGAAGGGACTGTCCTTGAGCTCAAGGCCAGCTGAAGCAAGTGTGTGCAAAGGCAGCCCAGGCATATTCCTGGTGGGAAGTCCACATAGTCATCAGGCTCCACATGCACATAGAAACCAGGTGACCTGGCGAGAGAGCTACACCGCCTGCAGGTGAGGGAACACACTCACATCTCCACATAGCTTTAGAGCCCTTGGCTAAAACTTCACACAGTTCAGATAGTAATGTATTCCATACTGCTAAAATACAAAAACAGCACACCACCCTTTAGGAAAAATGATTTCTTAGCTCTAAATAGCATTCTGTAATCCCCCACCCCTTTCCTCTTATACTATAAGCTGAGAAACTGAGTCTATGGCTCCTGATCAGCCCGTGAAACCAACCCTGTAGGAAGGCACCCAGACACATACACACACACGAAGAGGCATGAACAAAGGAACTGATATGGAAGTGATAAAGGTAATGGTAGGAAATTGAGAGAGGAGAGAATATGTCCACTGAGATTTTCTTTAAATAACAGCTATATTTTTTGATAACTATTGTGCTAAGCATGCAAATAAATTCTTGCATCTAGTCCCCACATAAACCCAATGAGTTTAGCATTATCCTTATTAAAAATGTGGAAACTGAGGCAGCATAGTATAGAAGCCAACATATCAGCCTTGAACCAGCTCGTTTTGCTTTCAAAATCAGGCTCTTGCAGACTTTGTAATTCTGGGTAGTTTCCAAGTATTTTCTTTTTTCTTTTTTTTTAGTAATTTATTGTCAAGTTGGTTTCCATATAACATCCAGTGCTCATCCGAAGTTTCCAAGTATTTTCAAATAAAAGGAAGATGGAATCTATCTCATAAGGTTGTGAAGATTCAATGAGATATGGAAGATGCCAAAAGCAGAATGTTCACATTTTAGGATATTAGGTTTCCTCCTACTTCTATAAATAAATGTTCAAAAACTACCTCAATTCAGTTTACCAAAAAATGTTACAGATGTTTTTTAAAGAAAATGTTGATTATCTGTTTGACTTGAATGAGTTGGAAGGTTTATAAAACTGCAGATGTGGGTTGGCTCCTGAACATGTTGGTGGAGAATTAATGATTCCAAAGCATTAGATGTACTTTGGTTTGAGTACTCTTTAGTTTACAAGATATCAAATTATCTCTTGATTAAAAAGATTTTACAGTCCTGAAGAGGGCAAGTTCATTGGTTTGATTCTGCTGCTACTTCCCCCCACCCACGACTTTGCGTGTGGGCAGGAGGCAGAGAAGGGGAGACTGCTCAACTCACTGTTGCCCGCTTGGACAGCTAGCTGTCAGCCACAGTGAACTTGATGTGTGCATTCTAGCAGGAAACGAGGTGACGGATCCATTCTCCAGTCCTCGCTGGGAGTCCTGGAGAACAGGAGAAGGGCATTGAAAACTGATTTCTTCCTTCCTATAACCAAGGCAGGCCAGTCTAGGAAGGAGACTGGAGAGCCATCAGAATAGGTCAATACCAGCCTAAAAGAGGTGAACACTGAATCAGGGAGTCAGGGACCACTTACTAAAGAGAGTCTGTGTGTATTTACCCTGTACAAGCATGGTGTGGACACAGGAAAAGGTGTGCTCCAGGACTTACCGTGCACCCCTCACTGCAGGTTATTAAAGGCTGGGGGAACAGCAAGGTATCCTCTGACAAAGGTATTGAAAGGAATGACCTCTCAAAATAAATTTACACTGTTTTCAAAATTCCTTTCTACACTGGTATTTACTGATAAATGTTGAGGCCAATGGCCTGATGCTTCCTTTTCAAAATTAGGCCCCTCAGCTCATATGAAACAAACTTAACAAAAGTCAACCCTGAGAGTCTGAGTTTTAGGCCAAGAAAACATCAAAAGATTCCCTCCCGACCCCCATCCTCCAAAGAAAGTGGGTGTACCTCCATCTAGGCTGGAGGGGTTAGGGGAAGAGGGTCCCTCAGCTTGGGGCATCTGGTATAGGACGGGTCACTGCCTCTTGGGAGCATACTGTCCTCTATGGACCGTCCTAAGGGAACCTGTGGATGGTCCTCAAGAAACCTATGGATCGTCCATTCTCTACCCGAATGACTTCCCTCTGTCCCCTCTCCACTTCCCCAAATTCCAGCACTGGGGGCCAGCTCCAGGCCACAGATCCTAAAAGGGACACCCAGGTGTCTCCAGCCCATACCTCCCTGTCTCTGGGCCCACCGGGCTGCATGCTACCCTGTTCTTGGCCCCAGCTGCCTGTGGCGGGGTCCGGGCTGGGTGTGGGGGTGGCCCGAATGATAGTATTAATTGTGAATAACCAGGTGCCCCTGAGACACCCATCTTTATTATTAATCCCAGGCCCATGTGTGAAAGCTCGCTGATCTTAACGCCGCCTGACAACTTGGGGTGGCTGTGCCCTGGCGGCCGGCATCCCTAGAATCGAGAATTCTCAGCCGGGATAGGGGTACAGGTTGGAAACCTGGTTTAACAAATTCTTCGCTGGATCCTGGGGAGCCCTTTCTCGGGCCGAGTTTTTGGCAGGTGGCGGGCGAGGCTCTCAGGTCCCGTTCTGGGGCGCGTCTGCAGTCCCTACCCGGGAGAGCCCCCCCGCAGCGGCCGTCCGCGCAGGTGCCGGACGCCCGCGCGGCTCCGCTCCCCGGCGCAGAGCCGGGAAGGGACCACCGCGCCCGCACTGCTCTGCTAGTCTGAGGGTGGTGTCTGAAGTCGGGCGCTTCCTGCCTTTCCCTCGGCCCGGGTGCCCCGGCTCGCGCGGCGGGGCTCCGAGATTCCCCGCTCGCCCCGCCCCGCCCGCCGCCCGCGCCCTGCACAGTGCGCGCGGCGTCCCCGCCCCCAGCCCCAAACACCCACCCGCTGTGGCCGTAGGGGGGCACCCCCATCGGGGCGGGAGGGTGGTCCGCCGGGGCCCGGTCGCCGAGTGGCGGAGAGGTGACGGTAACCGCCTTCCCATTTCCGCCCGGCCGGCCGCGCGTCAGGGTGAGTGCAGGAGAGAGCGCTCGGTCCTGCCTCCGCCCGCCCGCGCCGGGGGCTGGCCTTGCCTCGCCGGCGCCTTTTTCCCCCGCAGCGCGGCGCAGCTTCGCCACTCGGGCACCGCAGGTAGGGCAGGAGGCTGGAGCGCCTGCTGCCCGCCGCCCGTAAGATGGTCCCCTCAGCTGGACAGCTCGCCTTGTTCGCGTTGGGTAAGTACGCTGCCTGCTGCGCGCCCTGAGCCACCTGCCCTCGGCGACACCCGCTTTCCCCTGGCCCCTCCATTTCTCTTTCCTGGGGGTTTTCTGCGCCCGCCTAGGAGAGTCGAGGGAGGTTCATGCTTTTCAAAGGTTGGAGGCTGGGAGGGAGGGGCGGCGGGGTGGGCAGTGGAAGTCACGAGGGCTTACTAGGGTCTTGGGGAGCCCATTCCAAAGAGGGGGACCGTCGAGTGCCCAGGCTTTCCCCGGGGAGTGGCCGCCTGGGCCGTGCGTGAGAACGCCGGCCGGGGAAAGGAAAGCGGTGTGCGAACGGGCTTGAACTTTAATCCGCCGCGGCTGTGTTCGTACACTTGCCCACACCTACCTGCATACCTGGCTGTCTCCAACCAAGCCCGTCCTCACTGGTGGCGGTAAGCATAGACGCGAAGAAGGTGGCTGGCGTCAGACCCTATGCCCCTTCCCTGTGGTATCCTCGCCTACCCCTGAGACCTAGTGACGGGCAGATGGTCACAATCAGCAGAGGGGCCCTCAATCTTCTAACTTTAGGAGCTCTTGAGCTTTGGGGTATGTTTTGGATTTTTGTGCGGATTAATTCTTCTTTTAATTCACTTCCCTGGGAGAAGTGGTTTAAGTGTCAGCCGAGGGCAGGAGTGAAGAAACCCTAGACGGAGGATTGCCAATTTCCTTTGCGTTTGTTCTTGGAAGGAACCGAGAGTTGGGGGAAGGGAGGGGAAGTTAAACACGGCAAATCTGGGTCTTGTCTGTGGAGTCGGTGAGTTTTTCCGCGGTGAAGTTTACAGGACTGTATGTAAATGGTAAGGGGAGCAGTGCAGTGCGCTGCCTGGCGGGCTCTCGACTCGCTTGAACTGAGATAGCTGATTAACAGCCCAGGTGTCCAGGTTTATTGGTGCCGCTTCCGTAAAATGAATTGCTCAGTCGACATCCCCTGAGTTTAACCCTGTAAAGCAAGTTGCTCCTACCTGGATAATTTATTGGAGCCTGAGAGAAGCTGTGGAGCCCCTCCCCTCAAAAATGTCCAGAGCCGCAGCCTCACCCAGTTCCTGTATGGTTTCCGGGGGTTCACAGACTCGCAGGTAATCCTGCCCATGAAACGCTGATTAAGAACCGCGGCAGAAGGGAAGGCATCATCTTAGAGGGAAACGGAGCAGTGGTGGAACCCAGGCTCTGAGATGTACCTTCACCTGAAACTCACCAACAGGTGGCATGATTATGGATGGCTTTCCCTCCCCTTTTATAAAGTCTTTTTAATTTTTTGTATTGATGGTTGTTCTGATTTTAGATTTTGTTGAAACTGGGAATGAAAATATTCCCAGTACATCAGAAAGCCTCCTGTCTGCAGGTGCCTTTGTAGTGGTGTGTGTGTGTGTGTGTGTGTGTGTGTGTGTGTGTGTTTGCGAGTTCTGGTAGTAATAATAGCTTCTGCTGTTTGAGCACTTACTCTGTGCCAGGCAGTGTTCTAAGTGCTTTTCATACATTCATTTAATTTTCCCACCAACCTGATGAAGAAGGTATTATCTTCTCTGTTTTACAGAGGAGGAAAGTGAAGTACCCAAGGCCCACAGTTAGTGGGTAGTTGGGCCAGGTTTATTAGAGTGTAGGAGAATCAAGGGTTTGAAAAATCACTTAACTGTGGTCACTAGAGTCCCATCTCCCAGTTTGGGGACTTTTCCTGAAGGCGAGATTACATGGAATACCCTAGAACTTGCTTTTAAATCGGGTTTTCTATTGGACTCCTGGGATCTCAAGGTGGTCTGACATTACTCATTGAAAATTAGAGGCAGGAAAACATGGTGAACAAATTTGAAGGCACCTTTGAAAGTTGCCCTGCCCTTGCCCATGAAGATTGCATGCATTCATCACGTTATTTTTCCTTTTTGCCTAAGAGCTCAACCCGATCTTTGTTTCTTAAGAAAAGGATGTATAAACTTAAAAAGATTGATCAATACGTAAAACCTGGCTCATACAATTCCAAGATAGGAGCACTTGAAAAAAAAAAAAAAAGGACAAAGAAGGCATGAGTACTTTACACCAGTTTTATATATATATATATATATATATATATATATATATTTAAGCCATTAGTTCTGATCGTTGACTACAACTTCTGCCTCCCGCCTCACTTTCTGCTAGATTACTAAATAGCACTCATCAGCGCCACATGCATCTTTAATTTGCACATTTCCTCCAGAGCTGCTTTCCTCTCTAATTTCTCTTAAATTGGTTGAAGGCAGTTTCAGGCAAATCTAGAAAACCAAGATCTCTCCCCTCCTCCCCAATCTTCGGGGAGACAGTCTGAAAAGAAACTTGTTGTTTGGAGCCTCAGCCGATGCTCCTGATTACTTGGAACCTGAGCGGTGGTTGATGTTTTGGCTCGGAGAGTGTAGAGACTGCTGCTTACATGGCAACATTGGAAATGTAATCCAGGGTCCTGTAGTGGCTGCCTTCCATGTCAGATTTCCATCACTGGCTAGGCACATCTCGTAGGAGCTTGGCATCTCCAGTCCCACGTCCTCCTCTGTGAGCAGGGAACAAGACGGTGTGATCCTGGGCAAGTTACTTAGCTTTTCTGTGCCTTGTTTTTCTCGTCTGTAAAATTAATAGGATTGATGGCTATATTTAATGAACATAGAATAGTGCCTGTCGCGTAGTAAGAACTGAATTAATCTTAGTGCCATCATCACCATTGTTGTTGTAACTCTGAACCCCATAGAATTCCAGATGTCATAAGAGATTGTGTCCATTCTGTAGCTGGAAAGTTTGTCTTACCTTCCAGCTCTTCACCTTTCCTAAGCCAGAACGTATCACCCAACCTAAAAACCCACTTAATGATTTTAGTGAGTGTCATTTGGCAGATACCAATTCAAGCAAGTTTAGGTTGGTTGTTTTTTTTGAACGTCATGAAATCTTTAATTTTTGATGCAAAACATTTGTATTTCCTCAGTGTTTAATGGTCGGTTTATTGAAGTCAGCACTAAGTTCCAGTTTTCTTACCTGTAAAGTGGGAATAATAAAACTGCACCCACCTCACAGGCTGTTAGGAGAATCAAATAAGATGGTAAATATTGAAGCTATTCATAAACTATACCAATAAAGGACTACACACAAAATGAAATTGACTTTATAATACAGAAATGGATTTTATAATCCAGAAATAAACATTATGTTTATGGCAGTTTATGGCAGTTTAGGACTGGGTGTAGCCTAAAGAAGGGTCCTAGGATGCCAGGTGTCATTAAGGATGAGTAGAGATGGAGCAGGTCAGCGTCCCTGGGCATCTGGGACTGAGGGACTGGTAGAGGGCATGAAGTGAGACAACCCTCTTCTCCATTACATGGACATGATGTCTTTCAGAGTAGACAGTGGAGGTTTGCCCAGGACACATGTTTTCCTTATTGGACAGCCATAATTAGGGAAAGTTCACTTAGAACATGGGCTGTAAAGGTGTATATGGAAGGCTTAGAGACTAAGTTTCCCATATTTGCTTTTCCAAAATTTGGTTTCCTAGGATAAAGAGATCTTTCTGTAAATATTCAATGTCCCCTGCAAAGGGGACCTTTCTTACAGGAGTAAATGATGCTTCCTGTTACTATGGTAACCTAGGAAAAATAGCTGACTTTTCCATTAGACCTATCTCTAAGGGCCTTTTGAAAGTGTGTTTGAACAGAATCCTACTCTGTGGGCTGCCCACTGAAAGGGATGGGCAGTGGGAAATGGAGGTTGGGTCAGCCAACATGGGATTAGGCTGACACACTGAATTGGGCCTGGTTTCACACGTAAAACCTCCGTAGGACCTTTACAGCAGTGCCCTCAAATTGCAGCCACCTGGAGGGCTTGGTAAACCAGGCTGCCCAGCACGAGGTAGGAGTTTGCATGTCTGACAAGTGTCCAGGTGTGGCTTAAGCTGTTGGTGGAGAGGAGAGGGGCGCTTGGAGAACCACTGCTCCTCAGACGGTTGCTGTTAGGGAAACTTCTGGCTTACCCAGTTGCACTTTAGATAAAGTCCATTCTGACGTTTGTGAACGCTGCTGTGGATTTATGAGCCATTATTAAAGGTGCTTCTGCAGCCTATCTTGCTGACCCGAGCAGAGTTAGAACTCTTGCTGAGGTCTCTTAATTGTCATAAGTGTCCTTGACCTATACGCCCTGGAAAAGGTGATGATCCTCTCATTAGACTTAAGCTGAAAAACACTAAGCATCTCACACTTTCTTTGCAGGGGGGAAAGGGGGGGTGTGCCAAAAATTGACCGTTGTTTGGCTGTCATTTCAAATATTTTTAATCACCTCATTTTAAATGAACTTTAATTTTATGCTGAAGCTAATATATTAAGATTGCATTTAGATGGAGAAATTAGAGCACTTTTAGTGACTTCTGATTTTGTTTTGCCTTTTTATTTTCCCTTGTGAAATGTCAAGTATAAAAAAATCTTTTATAGAATCAGGAAAGCCTAAAAATCTAGGCTACCAGAACCATCTCTTAGGAGCTCTTCAAGTACAAGGCACATTCCCTTTAGACCATCTCTAAAAATCTGACTAGTCTTTTTGAAACATTATTAATTGGTTGTATTGGGGCACCTGCGTGGCTTAGTTAAGTGTCTGAGTCTTGGTTTCAGCTCAGGTCATGATCTCCTGGTTTGTGAGTTTGAGCCCCACATTGGGCTCTGTGCTGTCAGCCCCCAACTTGCTTGGAATTCTGTCTGCACCCTGCTCGCTCTCTCTCTCGCTCGCTCTCTCTCTCACAGACACACACACACATAAATAAATAAACTTAAAAAAATGAATTGTTGTATTGAATATGACTTAAATAGTTGTTACCTGGACTTAGAAAAAGACGTTTGTTGAAATGGAATTTTATATTTGCTAGTGCCCTTTTCCCCCCCTCAAATCCGAGGAAACACAATATCACATGGAGTTTCTCCCCTGGTCAAGTGAATTCTATGCTTGGCACTTTTGCTTCTAATTTTTTGTTGTCTGCT